GTGTGTAGGCCTATATATTATAATGTATCAAATTTAATTAATTACATAACTCTTTATAATAATATTACCTTTTTCATCTTCTGTTTCACTTAAAAATAAATCGAATGTATCTCCATGCTTTTCCTGGTGGACAATATCAATAATGAACGTTGATTCGTCAACTTCCAACTCCTGATCCCTATTACTATTACTCTCTTTGCTAATTTCATTTCTCTTTTGAAGAGTGGAGACGTAGTTATTAATGTAACTATTAAAGTACATTATTAGTATGTAACATGCGTATAAGACAGACAAAATTGCGGCTTCCCACCTAAAAGAAAAGTAAAATGGCAACCATTCACTTGTACCTTTTTCTTTTGTATTTCAAATTTTATCAAAAAATGCAGTCCACAGTATCAAAAGCTTTCAAAATTTTCTAAATCATCATCCTTTGCTTTCCGCATCACAAGTGAATCCACATTGCTTAAGACAAGCATTATTAAATTTATGTTATTAAATATAATAATAACAATAATAATAATTTTACAATAATATGAAAAATAATATATACCATATCACCAGTGAATCCATAATGGCTAATATCAGCACTAGAATGCTGACAGTCCAGAAAACTGAATCTCGCATTATAGGGTACCACCCCAAGTGTATAGGCTGCGGAAAAAAAACCAAATATAATAATATTACATATTTTTATGTCACGATTATTATTATTATTATTATTATTATTATTATTATTATTATTATTACTATTATGGATTCAGTACTTCATTCTGAAAGAGTCTTGATTGACTTACTGATTGACAATAATTCTGTTGACATTATAATTAGTCAATTAGTTATTATTAGATATAGTAGTTAAAAAGTTTAAAAAAACGGGAGGAAGTTATTGTGGTGAGAAATTCTGACGTACTTAAAGTAAGTAACGTACTGCGTCATCAAACAAGCGTTATTCTTCCTGGCATTAAACATCTGGCACAGTTAAGTTACCTATGAAAACTGTACCCCAACCAATCACGAACAAAGCACTCAAATATTCTATAGTCCTATGATATACATTTGTTAACAAATAACGGCCATGGTTAAATTTAACGTAATTAATGCAACCTTACCTTTTCGCAGAAGAATGGGCATAGACCAATTATACCAAACACATTAAATGCTGCAGACCCGACAATCGTCTCTATCCCAATGTCGTCTTCCACAACAAACGTACCTGCGAAGCATAATGACATAGGTTATTTCTTTAAAAACAGAAAGCTTAGATTAGTGTACAACGAAATTAATAGTTTAAAGCCGGGCACTCACTGCGTCGTACGACGAATCCAACTCCTCTCATGGGCGTCGATCGGTGGGGATAGGGGCGCGTCCCCCCCCCCACTTTTCAAAGTAGGGGGGGACATCGTATCGATTGTCCCCCCCCCCCACTTTTTACCAATCTTATATAATTAAAACATCACTTTTAAAAGTGAATGGAAAGAATAACAATTACGCATGACTCATGAATTTTGTCTTTTCACTTTCCCAAGTGCGGTACGTATTTTCAGGACCAAAACCGAGTGTAAAAACATAATTGTTTATAGGCCTACATTTCGTAACCATCTCAGAAACCACTAGATCGATTTTATGGGTGCAGCGGTTATCAGAAGCTAAATTTATTGTGAAAACGATGTACTCAACGTTGTTAAAATAATTTTTAACAATTTGGAAGCGTGTATACTTATTAGGCCAATATTTTTACAAACTCAAAAGTGCACAATTTCTACTATAAACGATTTATTCCTTTTGTATATTATTATGACCCGTACGTATATACTAGTGTTTAATATTTTCTACATACACAGGATTACTGTTTTTCCTAATTTCAAAAAAATATAGTTAGTCAATTGAATTTTATATAGTCATTATTAAACAATAATTATACAACCTATTTTGCTTTCCTGGTAATGATAAATTCAATAAATCACCTTTATTGTGAAATCAAAATGCTAACTAATATTTTGTGTGCTCCCTATCTCCCTAGTCCTGTTTGATCGTAAATTAGGCGGCATTATTTCCACTCACAATAGTGTAGTCGCAATATTACTTACACAAAAGAGAAATTCAAAAAGAGGAGAAAAGCAAAAACCTCTTGATTGATTTTAAAAGTACTGTATATGCAAAAAAGACTGACTGTTTTAAGCTTATCTTATTTGTTTTTCATGGTTTGAATACATCACAAGCTAATCAGTAGATAATAAATCATTATTTTTATGAATGTTAGTTCGCACGAAATATATAAGCGGGCATAATTATGACTAAAAGGATAATTTTAAACAAGTTTTATGATGAGTATTTCAGTGGCAGATTCAAGGGGCCAGCCGGCACACCATCCCTATTTTTTTTTTCGAAATTTGAAAGTGGAAAAAATGAAAATTATATTCAAATTCAGTCTGAGAGTGCCATTTCCGACCAACTAGAGGTGCCATAATCATAGATTTTCATACCTCAGCCCAAATCATGGTGGGGCTGAGGTGGTCTACTCTCTCCATCTGTAAAAGTCCCTCTCTGGCTCCAGCTCTATTTCAAATCACTTTGAAAATTTCGTATGGAAATAAATGTTAATTGCATTGTTGAAAGGCTATAGGCGTCAGAGCTTCCGGGGGCTTCGCTCCCTGGTCGACAACCAAGGCTTGAACGTACGGCCAAAGGCTTTATTTTTCATTTCGTCCCCCTCACTTTCAACCACGGATCGACGCCCTTGAGGAGGACGTGACGCCGTCTGCTGACTGTCGGTGGCAGTCTGAACAAATCATCAGTAAAAACGATCCGATACGCGCACCTCGTCAGGTTGCATTCTTCATAGAATCGCCTATGCCGACGACCGTCGGGCGCAGTGGGTGCCAGGCTTAATAAAACCTGATTTTTATATATTTTTATTTTATATATTTTGGTATCTTGTTTAAAAAAAGAAACAGTCATGCACAAAACATGTAATGGCAATAAAAACAAAATTTATTTGTCATTGTTATTATTATTATTATTAACTCGTAAACAAAGCAGGAAAAAATTGAAATGTTGTTTTAAAATTGACACCACCAATTCAATGAATAAGCTTACAACCTTGCAAAAGAAATTATCAAAAAATAATCAGCAATCGAACAATTAAAGCAGTAGTACGGTAGTTATGTACGCTTAATTATTATTCTTTAATAATCGAATTAGGGGAGGGTAAGTCGAGTTTTAAATCTTTCAGTGAGACATCGATATTCAGAATAGTTATTACTGTTTCTAAGCGGACGGCCAATGGATTTGGCTCTTGTGTCAAGTATTGTACAATACCGTTCTTGAACTTGAACTTGAAAAGTAATATATTTTAACAGAGAGTTTATCAAGCTGTAATACTGACAATGCATCATTATAGTGATTGTAATTATTACCAAGCATTATTTTACAGGCTCTTTTTTGAAGTAATTCAAGTTCATTGGACAGGTAGTTTGTTAACGACGAATGAAGGGCATGACAAGCACATGGCCGGCGGAACCTGAGGGGGGCCAGTGGGACCGGCCCCTCACCCACTTTTTGGCAGAAAATATATAATGTCTGGAGATTTTTGTATGATCGGAAAAAAACACAAGAAAAGAAAGAGGGAAGGAGATGGAGGGGAAAGGGAGTGTTTTTTCTCGTCCCCGACCTAGTTACATTTTTCTTGCAATTCACATTGGTGGATCTGGTGGTCAGGGGTCCTGACACCCCCTCCCCCTTCCTTGGATTTGGAAAAATTCACACCCGAGAGATCTGTTTAAATGAGTTTTCTTATGACATCTAAATATATTTTGCTGTGCATTGTACAGTAATACGGTAATCATTATTATGTCGGGGGACGGGATAAACACTCCCTTTCCCTTCCATCTGCTAATTCTTCCCTCTTTCTTTTCTTGTGTTTCTTTCCGATCATACAAAAATCTCCAGACATTATATATTTTCTGCCAAAAAGTGGGGGGGGGAGGGCCCCCCCCCACCCGGTTCCGCCGGCCATGTACCGGTATTTATGCATTTAGTTTTAAAAGGATTAATTTCATGTTATTGTCGTCAGATCAAATTTATAATTCATTAAGGAATCTTTGGAGTGAACCACTACAACTTTTCCTAAAACATTCAGCTACTGTGAGGTCGGTCAACAAACTTCCATCTACTGGGAAAATTAATAAACGAGTATTAACAATACATATTATAGTCCCAGATTCTATAAAGACCAAACAGTAGTGCTTTAACAAGTACTATTGTTATAATTTCGCTAGTGTAATGTAAATTATGGCTTGCTATTGAACTGTCTTATATCATTGAGAATGAGAATACAACAATATTGCACAAATATTTGTGTATGACGACGTTGTGCAACGGCGCCACCAACCTTTAAACTTTATTATTTGTGGCTTACCAATGAATGCTGCAAAAAGTTCAGGAGCTGAACTTCCGGCCGCCATGAAAGAGGCCCCTGCCACATCAGATTTGATATTCAGCGCTTAAAAAAAAATACGGGAAAAACATAAGCTCAATTGTTAAAGAAACCGTACACCGGTAAAGCAACATAATATCAAATTAGATAATTAAAATGAACTAATTGGGACCTATCCAATTGGGTCGTTTTAGAAACAAATGATGTAGCATTGACAGTGAACATCATGCTAAGGATTGGAAAAAAGTAATAGTTCGACGGAATTAGTAGATTTAATAGGCCTATCCATAGTGAATCAACTATCACACATACACTGGCCTGGATTTATCGGTAATCCATACACAGGAATATAAAGTGCAATTTAGTCTGCATCATGCAACATTTAAGGTCTGTTTATGCTTGCAACGATAACGATAAATAGCTAACAAGCAATTTTTCATATAGAAAATGTGAGAAATAAGAGAAGTTTTTACTCTAGGACTATTCGATAATGATTTATTGTGTACACAATAAAACATGATTTTACAAATCAATGGCATAATCCATAATCATTGGAAAACGATAAAATCGTGGTAATAACAATGATTTTATCGTTTTTCCAAGATTATGACGTCATTTGAATTGATGTGTGAAATTATTTTGTTATCGTGTTTACACGATAAATCGTCGTCCTAGTGTAAACTTCTCTTATTTTTTTACATTCTATATGAACAACTGCTTTTTAGCTTTTTATCGTTATCTTTATTGTTGCAAGTACAAGCAGGCCTTTATGGTAAGTTTTTGTTACTACGACAACATACCGGTAAATTTTCGGTCATTTATCATAAGATATTTGCGAATAGTATATAAGTACAACCACTACCAATATTGGAAGACATTGCAATCCCTGCCAAAGCTCCATCACGATCATTGATGAAAAAAACCATAATGTCATAACTGTTAATATTAATCTCTATATCAATAATAACAATGGACTATACTGGTTTCAGAAAGTGCAATGATATCAGGTTCATGTGTTTTCGAATTTATCAAAATTACATGTGAGTGTGACCACATTTAGAGAAGGAATTGATTTTTTTTTAACATTTAGATACATTTAAAATGTATAAATATTATTTCATTAATATTTCAATAAATCAAAGTATAAATCTCCGATTATATAGATGTTATAATAACGCTCCGTTCTATCAGAGAACAGTGATGTAATTTCACTGTTCCCTGGTTCTATAAAGAGATTGTTCCACGTTATTAATAAATTGCGATTTCAGAGTATGGTAGTCTGTATTATGTAATACGCATATAATAATAAGGTTTTGTTTAGGTAGAGTATTAATGATAATTTCAGTTCAAATTATAATAAGCTCTTATATACAAGTAAAACCACACCGGACACAATTGCATTAGATTGTGTTTGCATCTATATCATTTTTTGTCTTGCTTCCACCTGTATACATTGTGTGAATAAATATGAATCTGAATCTGAAATCACTGAATGTTTATTTAGAGTGCTTTATAAAACCAGAGCGAAAAACAAGTTAAGCTGAATGTCCGAAGTCGATGGTTATCTACTGCAGAAAGTTTGGGGTGAGAAGGTATATGCAAAAAGTCTAGGCCTATCAAATATTGATGTTGAAGACAAATTCAAAGTTAATTAAACCAACCTTTACAACTGAGAAAGCAATGTAAACGTATGCTTTTATTTTTAACTTACTTGTGCAGATAAGTTCAAGAGAAGGCACAAAATAAACTTCACAGACGTACGCTATTGCACCGCACAGGTATATTGAAACAAAGACATGGATGACTATTGCTCCGTTGCTACGTTGCGCCTGAGTAAATAGATTGTGTGGGAATTTCAGAATACCAGGTATGGTGCAGTTCTCATCTTCGGCCAACCAGAGTATCTGACGACCAGTGTCGTAGATACTGGTATCTGTCAATATATAGTATTGTGCAAATTAATAGATGCCCTTTGTTTCTATTTGATGGCTTTTGTAATTTATGCTTTCACTTTTGATCTTGAAAATGCAATTGCCGTAAACGTTATTTGAAACTAGCACAGCAGCTTCTGGCTTATCGCCCTTCTTGAGGTGCTACTCAACTCAAGATTGTTGAAGATTATACACACACACACAAACACACACCGGCATGCATATATATATCTGTCTCTTATACACATCTAGATGTGTATAAGAGACAGGTCTCCAATAACCTCTGCCCCACCATGGTTGGAAGCTGAGGTCAGACAATTTTGTAAAATTTACACGTCTAGATACTCGGAAATAGCACTCAAGTTCTTAATTTCGTTAAATTTCTATTTATCACTTTGCTAAGGGCAGAGACCGCGCCTCCAAAACCCTGCCCTCCAATTGGTTAATTTTTTTCGGAGTGTGTTGGTGGCGTGAAACAATATATATATATACATACATATATATATATACACACACACACATATATATATATATCTTTCATTCTTCGTTAACAAAAATGGTACAAAAGAACATAAGTTATCAGAAATATTAATATTAAATTTCGGATGCATACACGTCATACCTCCTAATATTTAACCTAAAGAGGCCGATTCTCCCAGGTAGTAGCCATTCTTACGGTATATACGCACTGCAGATTCCGAAGCTAGGAAGGAGGGATAATTACTGACCTTTATAGTTTTCTGTGCACTTACTTTAAAATATCACGAAAACACTTCTAATTCCCATTTTTGATTATACCTTTTCTAACTTCAAAACAGAATAAAATCGCGTCGAATTTCTTTATTTTTAATGTCTACAACCAGACTATAATTTACCTAACCTTCTTCTCATGGCCCTTATCTATATTTCTCCTCATAAGGACAATCGATGACATAGTTGAAAATTGTAAGAACTATCCTGAAAATATCGGCCAAACCGAGGGCAGTAATTTGTAATCCTGCTCCCTACTAATCCTCCACGTTTTGAAGATCGCTGTAGAGAATTTGAACAGTTGTAAATGATATCCGGAATTCAATTACGTCGTATTGTACATAGTTAAGCTGAGGTCGTGTTCTACCGAACATAGTGCGTAACCCAAAACGGAGATTTTCTTGTTATTTCTGGCACTGCCTAACCATTCGGTATTAAAAACGAGTGTTTACACAAACAGTTGTGCCATGAACAGACATCCAGGAGGTTAATAATATGGTTGGTTATTTAAAGTTAAGTTATTGTTTGAACGATTTTGGTGAAACATTTTACCAACGCCAAAATGTCAATGCTATCACACGGACCTTTTTGGACTAATTTCGCCCCCTTTATGAATTAAATGATCTCCGATTTTAGATATCGGGTGGGTGTTCAATTGCCAATAGTTTTGTATGTTTTCCGTCACATAGCATATTTCAGCATTGTGTCAGACATGTTTGACTTAAAATGTCCTTAATCTCATTGGCAATAATAATCTAATCCGAAAATCAACTACGTACTACTGATCAGTTGTGACCATCGGGGAGAAAAAGCAATGTTTGTCGGGGAGGAAAAAAAATAATATGTATTTTCTACATATTAGTAGACTATAAAATCTATTAAATAAGCCTTTGAAACCCCAAAATTGTCAAAATTTTCGGAGGCTTCACCCCCAGGACCACTTTCGAAACCTATTAATCGAAGCTCGACCACGCCCACTTTGCTTTCGTCGGGGAAATCTGACCCCTCGTCAGGGGTATCGGCCCTCTCTTCGGGGACCTCGCCCCCCACCCCCCGTCGGGCAAATCCTGGCGCCACCTCTCTTTCATACTAAAGTAATTAAACACGTTTCTGATTTAATTTCCCCACCTTTGTTACATCCCTCAATCGTTAAGGGCGTTTTCCAAACAGAATGAAGCAAGCCCAAGTAACTCCCAATTTTAAATCTGGACCTAAATCCGACATTTTAAATTATTGTCCGATATCAAGTCTTTCTATCTTCTCAAAAGCCTTAGAAAAAAAATATTTATACAACCAAGTTTATTTCAAAATATGATACAATAAACAATTCGGATTTAGGAAAGGCTTCTCTCGCCCTTATCGACCTTACAAACAAAGTTGTTTTTTTTTTTTCAGGCTGACTGTCCAAAAGATTTTTCTGGGTCTGTGCCTTTTTCCTTTACCCCGAATTGTTATGATTCTGTATTTTATTTTTGTTTGTATTTATACTGGAAATCAAATAATAATACTTTGAAGTTGAAGTTAAAATTGTTGTTTGGTCTCTATGCGCAGGTATGTCAAAGGTAGACCTAAAAGTAGGCTACTGGTAAGTTAAACATCCAGAAAGAATACCGTACCACCAGAGCTTTTGGGGCAACACTAGTATTTCGACATCGGTAAGACATTGGTAAGTAAATGAAGTTTGTTTCTGTCTTTTGTGGAGTTACCACACATTATTTCATAATTTTTGTCCAACCAAATATTTCTGGCAACAATGTCAAAATATTAAGCTAATAATATAATCTAATAATATGGTGTATAAAGTAGTTTAATAGCCTATAAGTTTTTTGCAAAAATGTACCTAAAAAGTTAATCACATTTTAACGAAAAAAAAAATCATTATTTTGTTTAGACCAGTAACCAACCAAATGGACAAAAAATAAATCATACCTCACACCTTTCCTTATAAAAACAATCTAATATAATAGATTTAAGAAAATGTACATTTTTCTCACGATAGTTAATACAATAATTATGAGTAAATAAGTAAATGAGGTTAAAATATTAAGGCAGATAATATAAAGGAAACAATTGATAAAATAAAGCAAAATATATTTTTTAACGTAATTGGAAATTAAATAAACTGTTATAAGTAGGCCACAGGGTAGATTGCATTTGTAAATACTATTGAATTAAGTTAGTGTACGGTAGTTTGAGAACGTTTTTTAAATTGAGTCTGAAATATGTGGTGGGTTTAAGCATAGCTCCCGGTGATTTCTTTTATCTTTACAATCTTTTTTTGCTCTAATTAGCCTGGTGTATTGCAATCTCTGAAAATGATTGAAGCGGAATTGTAATGCTCAGTTTTGTGTCGAAATAAGTGAAGAAACAGCATCGGAAACAAATTCAAATTTACGAAAACGAAAGGTACTCTAGGTATGTGATTACAGTAGATTTAATAAATTCAATGAATTTATGAAAATTTCATACCTACGTTTCTGCGTTCTCTTATTTAGTATTGATTTAAAATTGCCATGAAGTAACTTAAAGTTAGAATTAGATAATAACGAAACTACGACATTTGCCTATTATTAAAACAATATTAGTTGAACATCAATGACGTTCTTAACGTACTTAAGCTTGGTTATAAAACTGTATGAGTTAAATTGACTATTTTGCCAGTAACACGTTTATTATAGAAGCCCGTGTTCACTATCAAACAAAAACAATCATTTTATTCAGTTTTAAAAATATTGCTAGATCACGGAAATATTAAAATAACTATTAGGCTATTGTAGGCCTAATTGCAGAACATAGGCTGACACAGTAAATAGGCCTATATTTATAGCACAACCCTCTTACAAAATATGCATTTTTTGTCTATTAATATTAATGTATGCATAAACTAATGTATTTATGGATATCTTGTTTTGTGTGTATGTGTAAGTCGACCAAGTTTACATGAAACATTAAATTTAAAAGAAACCGTGTTTTATGCGCGTAAGGAGACTGTTTTAATCGAATGCACAATAATTAACTTTCATTTTTATTTAGGCTATTTTTAATATAATGGTATTTTATTCCTGTTTGATTGATCATAGAGAAGAAAAACCCCGATCTAATGTCTCATTACTTCAAAAGAGCCAAGATTGAGGAGTATTTCACATGTTTTCAAAGTCATGGTGAATGATTATCAATTACAGTAAAACCGAGACAAGCTCTGCATTATTTCATGTCCATGATTCTAAATCGGGTAGGTAATTCAAGGAACGGCAGGCAAAGAGTTTAGTGTAGAATAGAGACAGGGAAACGACCGGTCATCAAACAGTTCGCTGGCTTATCATAACTGCAAAGCACCAAACATAAGATTTTAAAAAAATATCTATATAGAGCATCTAATTAGTTTTCTCTTATTATAGTCTTATTCAGTCTCATTGCGTTACTTAACATGCGTTGTCTGCCAATTGACGAGCGATGCCTAAATTGGAAAATATATTTTTTATGTTTTCAAAGGTAATAATGATTTAATATCCCCTTGTCTTAATGATTAAAATAAAAAAATATTCTTTAGAGAGCGGATAAATAATTATTTCTCATTGTGTTAGTAAAATCGAATTTTCTGCCAGTATACGAGCGAGACCTATTCAATTTACTGGTATATTTTTTTAAGGATTAGGCTATGGTTGAAAAGGACAAATTTATAGTCAAGAACATCGTTCTGTCGTTGATACAACCCGTGCGTTAGCAATGGAAAAGAATAAACAATGCATGCTCTATGTATAATATCAATTATTAATATATTTTTCACCATACTCTACCTTAGAAAACTACAAATTTTGTCCGGTTCTATGCTGCAGCAATTCCATGAAATAAATAATGCTATTGGCATCCACAACTAAAATTTTGTTACACTTTAAAAATGTAAACTCAAGACTCACCAATTTATCTGCAAAGACTTTAATGTTCAAAGAAATGTTTTATTTTATTTTATTATATTGCTGTTGTACATTTCTTTCTTAGCTTATTTTATTGGAAATGTTTGATTGATTTTGAAATGCCCTACACAAAGGATTATACTGGGTATTGCTGGAAACATTAGACTCGTATCACCTCCGCCGAGGAGGGAGGTTACGCCTTTCACTACTGTCTGTCAAGATTGCACAAAATCTAAAGAATAGATCATCATACAATTTACTAGTAGAATGGTATATAACAATCTAAGGAGATGATTTTTGGGACGAAAAGGTAAAAGGACAAAAGGTCAAGGTCACGGAAATTCATGTAGTTTGTGCGCCACATGCCTACTATTTTTTTTTAAAGAAATTTTGTTGATGGTGTTCGGGAATTTTTTTTTTTTTTTTTTTTCTTTTTCAAAACCACTCAGTGTTCTAGGCAGGCCGATTTGCTAGGCTTAATTTTGTGTGCGATAAGTAGGCCTGCATTTTTATAAATGCATTTCTTATTTGTTGGAACGGACCATGGCATGCTAAAATATCAATTCATGTCTTTAAGGCCCAGTTATGTTAATTTGTGCGCAATTAAAAAAAACATATGGCAGAATGTTACCCCTGTGTTTTGGACAAACCTCTGTGAACAAGTCGATTGCGCCTAATGGTAACACCTTGGCATAATATGGGAGACAGTTAGGCCTATTATGGGGAGTAGAAAGTTGTAGGAGAGTTAGGATGAGCTCAGAGACCGTAGTAGGCTATTATGTGTAAAATGGAATATGCTTTTACCTTTCTCTATACTTTAAAATGCAAATCAAAGGTTATTATGGTATCAAACGTTAACAACCAGCACCAATTGCGACAATATACTACTGTAGTATAAAGACTGGACAAAGCATTATTATATCTAATCGTTAGTATGATACATAAACTTCAATGACGTATTTAAGAATAAAGTTTCGTATATTGGTAACGTGTTTAACTGACTTACCGTATATTCTCAAAAATCCATGGGACTACATCTACCTGTACAAACCTATGTTTTTTTCCAGGCGTATGAAATCATGATGCACAGCAACTTGACAGTCAATGAAACGTGACGAGGCATTGAAATACAAAGTATAGAGGATTAATTTGTTAATGGTAGACTGGCTCAAAAGAAAATCTACAATTCCTACGCTTTGTTACTACTATATCAAACGTTCTTTTATTCTCTTTTCTCCATTTTCAATATCACCGAGAGATGACCTTTTAC